ACTTATATGTGAATTAAATTTATATTAAATGTGAATCAAATTTAAAAATTAAATATATTTAAATTTAAAATTACAAATATATTATTGTTATTTTTTATTTACAAATTTGTATTATTGTATAATTATCATATCATTATTATGCCATTTAGATGTTAATTAAATAATTTTAATACTTATTAAGTCATGCAGTTCTACATCTGCTTCAAACTTGGTTGAACTATTGAACTTTAAAACTCTCATTCTTTTGGTTATATATCCAATCTGATTTCACAACCATGAGTGAACTTGTAACCTATAAGAGGAAAATGAATTCCTCTTGGATAAGGCTGATAGACGGTAGTCAATTTATAAGATAACATGTAATTAAAATAACATCAACCAAAAAGGATGATGAACATTGATACAAAACATTGAAGGAGGAGGAATGTTGACCAGATGGCATTGCATGAGCATAACAACTCCATTTTGCTGAGACATGAGAATAATAAGATTGATGAATGATAATATTTTTAGTATAAAGTAAAATTGTATTCAGTTGGTTTGAAGAATTTTAATCATAGTAGAAAACTAAACTTTTATTTCTTAATAAGAATTGCTAAATAAAGACAAAATCTTATCTTTGCATTGCAGTAAATGTGCCCAAGCAATAGCAGAATGATAACACAATACCTAAAACCTATATCCGTAAGAACATGACTAGGAAATATAAGAATGGACCAACTTCATGCGGAGCACTTTGGGGACTCGACATAGATTAAAGAAACAACACTATGATGTCCAAGTTCGTAAGCATTGTCTTGAAAGTTTGAGAAGATGAAAGGAGAATAAAATCATGAAGTCATGGATGTGAAGGATGACCCAGATGATAATGCATTGATATGGAGAATTAGTAGAAGTGAAAATAGAGGGGAACGTGATTGTTAGGTAGTAAATTTCTCTAGCTTCAACACCACCAATAGTCTTAACGTTTTGAGATCTTGAAAATTGTAAAAAGAAGAATACAGGGTTTGTAGAGGAATCATGAGATTTAATAAATACGTTGTCTCTAGGATTCTTAATTATTTGGGTTTTTTGTCCTTTTGGATGATATTTTTGTAGTTGAATGAAAGAAATAAAAAAGTGATCGTGGAGCGGATGATTCAAACATGAATAATGTTTGAGCCTTTGATGCGGATGATTCAAACATGAATAATGTTTGAGCCTTTGATGAAGGAGAGGAAGCACTTTTTACATGGTTTGAAGTAATTGATATCCTGTGCAATATGGGGTTGCAAAGAACCTCTAATTTTGCCTATATATGAATTAGTTTGGCGAGCACATCTCTTTATTTTCTTCTTCCCCTTATCTTATTGTCCATTCTGCTTTATTTTTCTTTCATCTGTGAGGTGCATTATATATCCCTTTCATTGTATGTTTGGAATGGCATGTTGATGCTTCCAGCTAAATTGTGGTACATTTTTTGTTAACGACAATGACAGACCTGTAGTATTTATGGTTAGTGATTGCATTGTAACATTTTTTTCTACTTCAACAGCTCTTTAAAATCGGCTTGGCTTTTAAAACTCTTGAGCTAGATTGTTCAAGATCATATGTCCTGGAGCAACTAAAAATAAATCTTTTTTGTTGATAAACTTGATTAATGCATGAGAAAATCATTGTTAGCCTTCAGCAACTACTAGTTTCTTCTTGTAGCGAAATGAGCATTCTTTATTGTGCATGACCTAATGATAATCTACATCCACCTAATTCCAATTGAAGTGCCTCCTTAAACTTGAGTTTGCTATACAAAATTAAGATAAATTACCTTATCTAAAGAAAACTATGTGTTGCAGAGCAATTGGTCACGGCCAACAGGCAATTTGATGCTGTTCTTGCTCTTGAGGTATGTAGTATGTAAGGTGAAGAGTTGGTGCTGATTTTCTTTTATGTTATTTTATTTTATTTTTTGTAAAACTTAGATGAAATTCATTTTTGGTGACGTCGTTAACTTTTCTAGTGTGAGGCTGTATTGTGAGCTTCTAAAGTATTTTGTGTAATGGTTAAAGATACATAATTCATTCCTTACTGGATATTGTGATGCTAGTTGTCATGATCACTGAAGACATTAACTATTACAGGTCATTGAGCATGTTGCTGATCCCTCTGATTTTTGTGAGTCACTTTCAGCGTTAGTAGTTCCTGGAGGAGCCACTGTGATCTCAACAGTCAACCGCTCTATGAGAGCATATGCAACTGCAATTGTTGCAGCAGAATATCTTCTTAATTGGGTATGAGGGAATTATTGAAGCACATAGTTTTATTTTGACATAAGTCTCGTCTACAATGATTGTTGGAATTTCATTCATAATTGTTATCAACCTACTAGGAGTTTATTCTTTTCAGGTTAGATTTTTTATCACATCTTTGCGTACTACTATATTCTATAGATATTCAATGCTGTAGAATTTCAAGCTCACTTGTAAAACATGATTTTTCAATAGTTGAGGCCATTGTTAGTTTCAACATGAATTACTTTATGAATTTTTGTTTTATTATTACCATATATTCTAGAATAAGTATGTTTAAGACATTCATGCACCACTGTTGTTTCTAGAATAGCTATTGGGAGTTAACTTTGGCTATGGTAACCTCTCTCTCTTTCTCAGACACACATCTACTATCTCTCTCTCTCTTGCTTGAATACCTAGAACCTGTATGCTTATCTGCATAAGCATTTTAAATGCACAGTGACAAACTTAAATCAAATGACTTTGGGTTGGATATCTCGGGAGAGAGAGAGAGAGAGAGAGAGAGAGAGAGAGAGAGAGAGAGGTAGAATAGAGTGGCATTGTTCCATTACACAACGTTTCAAATAATATATATCAACATATGTTTATCTCAGCCCTTTTGTAGTTGTGGCATTTTGTTGCTCATCTTCACTGTAAGCTCACATCTTCAAAAAAAACTTGTTCCATCAAGATCAAACTTTTATGAGCACTTACGTAGAATTACAATTATTATACTGCATTAATGTATGTCTTATTTGTGTTTATTTTTTTTTTTCTTTTGAATTTATGTTTTCTTTGTATGATGACAGATCCCAAAAGGAACTCATCAATGGTCCAAATTTCTTACTCCCGAGGAACTTGTGTTGATCCTCCAAAGAGCCTCAATCTCGGTAAGTCTTATATTTAATATACTTATTATGTTAATTTTATCCACGTCTTCCTTACTCGCTTGGTACTAATTTATCGTTAAATTTTATAGATATATTTTATACTTTTTGCTGTACGTCTAAAATTCTATTCTCAAATGGCCTAATTGATACTTCTACTCTCTTTAAAATATGAACATTCATTAAATAAATAAATAAAAGAGTGTGATCATTCATGAATCAATCACTCTAATTTGGCCATAAACTCGACATAATTTTTTTATTTTTGCTGCACTCAACTTTGCTATTAATGACTTTTTCTGCCTAATACTCGGATCCATAGTAACAAAGACAACTTAATTGTAATTTTATAAAATTTGTTATTAAGTCCTTATGATATTCTCTCATTATATAATATTTTTTATTTATATATCTTTTTTTACTACAAAGCTTTAATTTTAGAAGTTATATCGTCATATATATCTTGATTTTTTTTTGTATAATAGATTTAAGATGCTCTAATAATATCATTGATAATTTTTTAATATTACACCACTATATATATATATATATATGTATGTATTAAATATTTGTTCTACTGATCCTAAGTCCTAATATATTAATCTTCTAAATATTTTCTTCATTAGATTAACTTTATATTATTTTAGCAAATGGCTTTGATTAGTATTGTCATTTTCAAACTTGCACACGATACCTTGAATAATTTTTTCTATGAGGTCAATTTTTATTACATTCAGTCATATGTCATTTCTAGATCAAGAAAATCATCTGAAGGTCTTTTTTCTACTCAGTATGTGCTGTCTAGCAAAAATCACTTTCTTGGTGGATCTCATTGACATAAAACCAAATTTATTTTAGTCAGTGTTCTTTCTCACAATTTTTTTTTTTTACTTATATTTGATTCCTCTATAGTTATGACAATTAAGTATCTCCCGTGTTATTAATTTTTGGTTCTAAAATTATCTAAATATTATCAAAATACGGATTCTTTGATCGTTTGGCACCTTAATCATCAAATTTTCATTAAAACATTTGTTAAACAAACTATTAATATCACCCATAAATATAAATTTCTCAATAGGTAACCAAATATTTGGAATTCGTAGTTGTTGTTATGGCTCCGAAAGTTTGGCCCCGGCCTCCCCCCGTTGCTTTTTCTGTTGGGGGGGGGGGGGGGGGGGGATTAAGTGGGGGGGGGGTTAACGGCTTAAGTTCCGGGGTAAATTTTGGGAAGGTAGATGTGTTTGTAGATAAGACACTACCCAAAGATTTCGCCCTCATTTTGCGAGGACTTTATGATTTGAGTTCTTGTTTCTTATTTGCACAAACCCCTACAATTAATTACCCCTCTTGATAGCGAGAGAGAACTTTCGATTAAGGTTAGTCGTCAATCATATACGTAGAGATATATGTTATCTCGCATATAGTAGCAGCATAGGTATTCAAAATTTGGAGTTTTGATATTTAAAATTAGAAATTTCACCATCTTGCTCTTAAAGCGGATGGTGGGGAATAAATGATGGACCGGATTAAGATCCCATGGTTTCGTCATCCTGGGCCATCATGGTCCCTGGTCTACTTATTTAGAGGAGGTATTCGACCCAACTTGACATAAGGATCCTTGTCGATAACCATTGGTTGCTTTGTCCAAGGGTACCTTGTAGACCTAGGATAGATGTTTATTTAAGTTGACAAATTTGAATCCACCTTAGCTAACAGAGGTCTTTGTGCCCTATCGGTAATATTCTATTGATTCATATATCAAGAATTTGATGCCATTAAGAAACATATTGACTCTGGCCATAACCGTAATTTAGTGGTACCATTTGACGGCAAAACCACTCGGTTTAGAGAGCCCTGGGTCATAACCTTTATTCTACGCGTACCACATTCTTACTAAAAGGAGATTATTTGAAATTGTATAATAGTGATATTTTCGACTAAACATTAGCTCTATGTGAGATGAAGTAAATTTTAATTTATCCACCTGTTAATTATTGCGGAGGGTGGATGAATTTTACTTTAAATGTTTTGATGGATTATTTCAAAATTAAATATTTAAAATTTATAACAATTTTTGAAATTTTCGATTTCATGGGTGTTTGAGATTTTGGGAGGCATTTCAAAGTGTTTGTGAACCCATCCTGTTGAGATCTACATTCAACACATCCTTCATTGGAGTGTTTATGGGGTCATATCATTCTGTCCGTTGGGCCTTGTCGACTCTACCAACTTGTTGACAGGGGATCAGGTCCATAGGCTTTATGTTTTTGCTGATGAATTTCTTTTGTCATAGACCTTGAAAGCCTTATATGAACTTATAAAACAGATATTCCGGTCGACACCCTCAACGTATATCTGTTTGATAGTTCGAGCCGTGTAGACTCTTATCTTTCCACGTAGAAGGATCAGGCTTGAACTTGGGTTCATTTATTTACCCACGAAACATTCCTAGGCATCATGTGTGTACACATAACACGTTCGTAGGGGCCCATGCAGGTGTACAATTACATGTGCATTTTTGTGTACTTATGTGCATACAATTTGTACTGCACGTGTGGGGGCACTTCTGATACTGGGTAGAGTTTTCTATGACAGCCCATTGAAGCTTGCATTTATTAGTCTTTTTGTATTTTCCCGTAGTTAATTTGTTGAGTATGCGACGGATCTCCTATGATGGCCGTGTGTCATATATCTGCACTTGCGAGAGAACAATGTATTTGCCCTGAACTTTTTTGAATACACATTCGTTGTCATTTCATTGTATGTTGATATTAAATACTCGGTGTCGTTGCATTTAACATCGGTCCCTCCGTACATGTTAACTGACGGATTGTGGTATACATTCGCGAACTAGTTCAATGTATTCCTCTGTATGTGTCTGCAGCGGACCTTTCACGTTCATGACATATCAATCACTGTTGATTGTAATTAGGACCATCACTCGTATTGTAAAACTCATGTCATCACCTCTTTAGTTCATAGATCGATTGTTATATGTGCTTTAAACTTCCTACAATCACATGTAGGAGCTCGTACTCGTCATAGTTTCTCTGCAGCATTTCCGCTATAAAGTATGACACATTAACTTAATTCCTCTATAATTCGCACATTCTTGTGCATCACCTTTATTCTTGAAAATAAGAATTAACACACTCATTCTCCACTCATCTGACATCTTTTTAGTCTTCAAAACAGTATTAAAAAGTTTAGTAAGCCAAGAAATTCCTTCATCTCCTAAGCATTTTCATACTTCAATTGGAATATCATCAGGTCCAACAGCTTTTCCACCCTTCATTTTCTTTAAAGCCTCTCTAACTTCGATTTTACTAATATGCCAATAAAAATAAAAATCTTTATTTTCATTTAGGGTGCTAAGGTCCCTACAGTCAATCTTATTTTCACAATCTTCATTAAAAAGTTTAGCAAAATATCTCAGTCACTTTTATTGAATATCATCTTCTAAGAAAAGTATTTTGTTTATCTTCATCCTTAATACACTTCATTTGAACTAAATCCTTATTACTCATATCTCTTTGTTTGGCTAACTTATACATATATCTTTCTCCATCCTTAGTATATAATCTATTATATAAATCATTAAAAGTTAAGTTTTTTGCATTGCATATTGCTTTCTTAGATTCCTTACGAGCCTCTTTATATCTTTTCCAATTATCATAGATTTTATAATTTAACCCATTTTTATAACAGATCTTCTTATTTTTAATCTTTTCCTGCACATTTGGATTCCACCACCAACTATTTTTACTATTATGTGCTTTTTCCTTTGATACTCCAAGCACATCTTTTGTAATATTCTTAATATATAAAAATGACAATAATAATAATTAAATAATAACTATATTCATGTATACTTGAGTTGGGTAAGAGGGTTGTTGTAGAGAGTTCTGCCAGGTATAGGGAGGGGCGGATTGGGGCTACAGGTAAGAGTTTTGGAGGTGAGGCTCTTATTGTTGGAGCTCGAATTGGGAGTGACTAAGAGAAGGGAGGCGACAGTGGCTTGAGGTCGAAGCAGGCTTAATAGAGGAAGAATTTGGCTAGGGGAAGCAGAAGTTCGGGTTGTTGATTCTGTATATGTTGTTAAACCTAAGTTATTGTCTCAAGGGTAACCAAGCGGGGGAGGGGTGAATTGATAATTTAAAATTTTTCTTTGATTTTTTAAATAGAAACCCGATTAGAATCTCGTAGCAAGTTAATTTAAGGTTTTAAAAATAAAACTTTTCAACTACAGTAAATAACTTGCAGTAAATACAATGCGAAAATTAAAAGACACAGAAATTTATAATGGTTCGGTCAAACAGAACCTACATTCACTCCCTGAAGACTCCATCTTCAGGTATTGCACTATTACCAAAGTGACTCTTCTTTTGCCCCCACAGCAAGGCGTAGAAGGCTTTACAAAAACCTCTCTTCCACCAATCCTCAGTGCGGCAAAGAACCGTCGTCCCTTCATACTCTTCAAGTGTTGGCAGAGAATCGTCGTCCTTTCACATCCTCCAAGTGTAGGTAGAGTACCTTCGTCCTTTCACACCCTCCAAGTGTAGGCATAGTACCTTCGCCCTTTCACACCCTCCAAGTGTTGGCAGAGTACCGGATCTTCTCCAAAAATCTTCTCACGAGCAACTAGAAAGAACAAAAGAAGACTAAACATCAAAATCACAAAGAGATCCTTACCTTTGAGTAACCTTGTGAACCCTTCACACTCCACTTGCAAGAAATCTCTCTCAAACACTCTCCCACACTCTCTTTCAATTGCCCTTGAAAAATCATAAAGACCAGACCTTTTTCACGTCAATTTTAGTGGAACTTTTATATCAAAGACATGAAAAATCGTTCAAAAACTAAAATTTTTAATTTCAAGTGTACACGATCATACAGTACGATCGTATATTCGTACGTACGAATATTTCAAAAACTGTTGCATACGAACCTGTTGTGAATCGGTACGAAACAGTTCGTATACGATCATCATCTGATACAAA